CACGTAGGTTCCCACATCCTCTCATGCTTTGTTGTTTCCTCTACCTGCCCCATTAACCTCCTAGGTGCCGATGTTCTCTCTCGGCTCCAGGCCTCCATTACCTTCACTGCAGATGGGCAGATTGAATTGACAACTCCCTTATCACAAAAGGATACCTCTGTCCTCTGTTCACTCCCTATTTTGTTAAACCTAACCGACAATACAGGGGATGCACGGGTCCCACAAACCCCCAGTGCTCTGGATCGTATCCCTCAAGAACTTTGGTCCTCTGGCCCGGATGATATTGGGCGATTACATGTGCCCCCAGTCTTAGTTCAGCTCCTGCCTGGGGCACTGCCTCCTCGTAGGCCACAGTACCCTCTGAAGCCTGCACAAGCTGAAGCCATTACCAGACAAGTTGAAAGTCTCCTTGCCAAAGGTGCCCTCATCAAGTGTTCATCTCCATGTAATACTCCACTGTTTCCTGTTAAAAAGAGAACTGTTAAAGGTCAGCCTGACCAGTACCGCATGGTGCAAGATCTCCGTGCTGTGAATGATGTGACCATCAAAGACACTGCAATTGTTCCTAACCCCCACACCCTCTTATCCCAAGTCCCATCAACTTCAACAATATTCACCGTGGTGGATCTAGCTAATGCCTTCTTCAGTGTCCCCCTTGACCCTTCCTGTCGTTTTCTCTTTGCCTTCACCCATGAAGGACAGCAATATACCTGGACTGTCATGCCTCAGGGGGCTCAGAATTCCCCCACACAGTTTGCCCACGCCATGTCACTGGTGCTAGATCCCTGGCAGAAATCTCATTTGGATGTCGTCCTGCTTCAATATGTTGATGATCTCCTTCTCTGTGCTCCTGATTTGCTCATTGCAGAGCGTGATTCAGAAGATCTCCTATGTTTCCTTGCTGCAGCTGGTTGCAAAGCCTCAAAATCCAAGTTACAATGGTGCCGGCCCTCTGTGGTCTTCTTGGGACACTGCCTTTCCCATGGCACCAAACATCTAACCTCCCAACGTGTACAAGCCATTCTGCATCTTCCACTACCTGCTAATCACCAGGCTCTCCATGCTTTTCTGGGTCTTATCACGTACTGCAGGTCCTGGATACCTGAAGCATCAAAGCTCATGCAGCCACTCTATGATGCCCTCAGGAGTGAGCCCTTTCACCTCACGGAAGAAACTATCATCTGTTTCCATACTCTGAAAAGAGCTATGGCTTCTGCACCTGCCCTGGGCCTGCCCAACTACCAACTTCCCTTCCACCTGTTTGTCTCTGAAAAGTCAGGACACGCTTCCAGAGTCCTCACCCAGAAACATGGCTCAAGACAACGCCCTATTGGCTATTTTTCCTGCATGCTTGACCCTGTTGCAAGGGGTAGCCCCTCTTGCCTCCGAGCAGTGTTTGCCGCCAGCGCTCTCCTGGACAAGACCAATGACTTTGTTCTTGGCCATCACCTCACAGTGTTGGCCCCTCACGACATTACTGCAATCCTACAGCAAGTTCGACCTAAACACCTTTCTTCCCAACGTCACCTTCGCCTACAGACATCCTTACTCCTACCTGATAATGTGAAACTCCAGAGATGCCTTTCCCTGAACCCAGCCACTCTTCTGCCACTTCCCAAGGGGGGAATTGTGCATCATTGGTACAGCCTGGATATCAACCCAGATGTTCGAGCAGATTTACAGTTGCCTGTGTTCACACCTCCCCCTGATGAACAATCAGAGGCCCTACTCCACTGTGTCTTGTGGTTTAGGGACGTACCAAGTCCTGATGTGGACTATGAGGAAGAACTATTTCAGCTCAAAGAAATTCAAATTACCCTGACTGACTTATTTTGGGACTCCACAGGTACCATGCTCATTTTGGTTCACCTTCCAGATAATATAGCACACCTCTACCACCATTGGGAAACAGCCATCCCACACATATCTCTCACCAGATCCCACAACACCTCATGGGAAAACCTAGGCCCGATGGCCAAAACTTGGAACCAAATGACTCAAGAACAACTGACTTCTACGGGAATAAATAAAAAGACCATTAACTACTGCACGACAGGATACTCCAGGTACCACACAGAGGCCTGTGAGGACCCACCCACCATAGACTGCAACCTCATTGATATTCCCCATGACTGTTTTGAACAAATGAAAATGGAAACTACACACCTACCAACTGTTTATGAAGCTGCATTACTCAACCCGGATCAAACACTATTTGTGGATGGCTCAAGGTTTGCTGATGAACAAGGACAATACCACACTGGATATGCAGTCACCACAGGATGTCAAATATTGCAAGCAGCTGCCCTACAACCAACCAAGTCTGCCCAAGAGGCCGAGTTAACAGCTTTGACTGTAGCCTGCAAACTGTCCGAAGGCCTACGTGTCAACATTTATACGGATTCAAGATATGCCCTGGGAGTGGCACACGATTTTGGCTTAATCTGGAAGACCAGAGGATTTCTTACAGCCACCGGTACCCCAGTAAAACATGGGGCAGCCATTGCAGAACTGATGGATGCATTGGAACTCCCAGCAGAAGTGGCAGTATTGAAAGTAAAAGCTCATGGAAGATTAGACACAGAAGAAGCACGTGGCAACAACCTAGCTGATCAAGCAGCCAAAGAGGCAGCACGACAAGGATGGGAAGTGGACAGAAGAGTGGCCACAGATACATTACCCATTTACACTATGCAGACATTGCCTACAGATCTCAGGCTGCTGAAGGAACAACAAGCTGCTGCCACTCCTCAGGAGAAGCAAAGTTGGAAGAGCAAAGGAGCAATACTCCGTGATGAAGTTTACACCATTAATCTCAAGTTCTGTCTACCTAGAAGTATGTATCCAGCGGTGGTCCAATGGGCCCATGGGCCAGCCCACCTATCAAAGCTCCTGATGAACTCACTGATTGACAAGTATTTTGAAGCACCAGGCATCACTACCTTAACACAGAATTACTGCAAATCTTGTGCTATATGTGCTAAGTGCAATCCTGGAAAGGTCATAAAGACTGCACCTAATCATCTAGCCAAGCCACAATACCCCTTCCAGAGGATTCAGATTGACCATATTCAAATGCCAAAGAGCGGACGTCATGAATATGCACTGGTTATAGTGGACATGTTTTCAGGATGGCCAGAGGCCTTCCCAGTGACTAATCTCACCGCGAGGACTACAGCCAAGTACCTTTTGACAGAAATTGTTTGCCGCTACGGGGTCCCAGAAGTAATTGAAAGTGACCAAGGGACCTCCTTCACTGCCTCGCTAACACGGGAAGTCTGGTCAGCACTGGGGGTGACCCTTGCATTCCACACACCATATCACCCATAGAGTAGTGGTAAGGTAGAGCGCATGAATGGCACTTTGAAAGCCAGAATGCTTAAAATGTCACAAGAAACTAACATGCCCTGGCCTGAGAGTCTCCCACTAGCGTTATTCAGTGTAAGGTACACTCCCAGAGGAAAATACAGTTTGTCACCTTATGAGATTTTGTTTGGTACAGCACCCAGGTTAGGTTGCTACTTTCCCCAACAGCTTCAGATTCAGTCAGACGCTATGGTAGACTATGTGACTGCCCTTTCACATGCCTTGACCAAGATACATGCCCAAGTGTTTTCTTCTATTCCAGATCCTGAGTCGAATACAGGTACACACAGGCTGCTTCCGGGTGATTGGGTTATGGTTAAGAAGTTCCTCAGGAAACACACCCTAGAACCGAGATTTGATGGTCCTTACCAAGTGCTCCTGATTACAGCAACGTCAGTTAAACTAGCTGGAAAAAGTTCCTGGATACACGCTTCACATTGCAAAAAAGTGCCTGCTCCAGAAGAAGCTGATCTTGTTTAAACATGAATTTATTATGTGTCTTGTGTTTTCTTATATTGTTGCATTTTGCCTGGGCCCAACAAGTGGCCATAACCAAAGATAATCATGTTTACACTTTCTGGTATAATTCTTCTGATACTGATGTAGCTACATACACCTTTGATTACTGTGACATAGTTACCTGTACATTCCCACAGACACAACATGCAGCCATATACAAGGACATACCTAACAAAAAGGACCCATACATTTGTGTGACTGGAGGAGCTTGGGGACACCACTGTAGTTCATGGAAAGCTGCCGGGTGGAATACAGGTAGACCATGGGGCTACAGACCTCAGGTTGCACTAGACAGACTTGACAAAGACGGGAAGCCCCTACTTTCTAGAATGACTCTTAGTAAACCCACAGGGTCAACTCCCATTAAACTTACCTTGAATATAGAACACCCTAGTCCAAGGGACGCGGGGGAATATGTGATGGGGATGTACTGGAAGGGAGGTGGCTCACACAATGCACTAGGGACATTCTACCTACAAGACATGCTCACCTCCCCAGACTGGGTAGGGACCACTCACATGATTGTTAACCCATTAAAACCACATATTAAGACCCTACATGACATGGTAGCTATAGCCAACCCCACCTTTGAAGACACTATGGCAGTGGAAACTGGTTTTTCAGACACTAATTTGTGGCTAGAATGGATGAGGTATAATGCCAACTCACACAATAAGACCAATTGTTACGTGTGTGGAGGAGCCAGGCCCCATCTGGGTACAGTTCCTCTGAACTTGCCTCCTGAAGTAGAATCATGTGTTCTGAGCCTTTACACACAGTCCGTCACCAACTCCTCGACATGTGAATCGTGGAAGAGAATTTACCCGATCACTCACGGACATGTAAAACCACCTGATGGAGTCACCATCTACCCAGGTAATTACACATGTTATACAATATCTAAAAACACCGGTTTGTATCTGGGCAAATTCCCATCAGGATATTGCTCAACTCACCATAATCCACCCATATCGCTGCTAATGAATCACACAAAGACAATTGGTGATATCTATTGGTTATGTGGGGATAAACAATTGAGGTCCCAATTAATTGGGCAATGGTGGGGGGAGTGTGCCCTAACTAAAGTCATAATGCCTATACATATCATTCCAGATGGTGACCATAACGCGTTAAACCTCACACATGTACACTCTAGAACCAAACGAGAGACTCCTATTCGAGGGAGTTTCGACCCCCATGTGTATATTGATGCCATAGGTGTGCCAAGGGGGGTGCCTAACGAATTCAAAGCAAGAGATGAAGTGGCTGCAGGATTTGAGTCCCTAATTCCAATGATAACTGCTAACAAAAATGTTAATTGGATTAACTACATTTACTATAATCAACAGCGTTTTGTCAACTACACTAGGGATGCCCTACAGGGCCTGGCAGAGCAATTACAAGCCACTACCCAAATGACATTTCAGAACAGAATGGCCCTAGATATGATTTTAGCTGAGAAAGGGGGTGTATGTAAAATCCTCCCTGAGACCATGACATGCTGCACATACATTCCAGACAACACTGGGCCCAATGGTAAGGTGACAATGGCTATAGAGAAACTAGATAGTCTTGCGGACGAGCTAAAGAAAAATTCAGGAGTCATCGACACTTGGGACAGATGGTTTGGATGGATGAATGGTTGGCAAAGGACCCTCTTCCAGGTGGGGACAGCTGTTCTCATAATGATCGTCATTTTCTTATTTCTGACCTGTTGCATATTCCCCTGTATACAGAAGTATCTACAGAAAGCGGTAGACAAGACTATAGATGACGTGACCCCTACTTTCATACACCAAGACATCACAGACCTCGAAGATGATACTCCACATACACCCCTTCAATCACATCAGTTCAAACAAACAACTGCTTTCCTGTAGGGACAGTATAGGGAAAGCGTCTGTCTTGACTGGCGAGTCTCACGTGTGGAGATGTAGTGGACTAGCCACTGCGGGTTACCCGCGGAGTGAAGTGTTTGATGCTAGTTAAGGCAGATAGGTTGCAGGCAACTAGGGACATATTAGGGACAGTAGCAGTTGTTATGGTAAATAGCCATTTTAGGGGGGACTGTTGTGGAAATAAGGTCTACACATATTTCCTAGTTAGTGAAAAATGTCTATTTACTCATTTCACGATATATATATATATATATATATAGCTAAGCACACATGTTATAATTAAGATGGCTGCTGGAAGCTTCTAGCTCCTTTCCCCCCCCCCCTTCCCTTTCTCCTTCCTAACATCGACTAACTACCTCGTGCACCAAGATGGCGCCGGAAAACCGTAGGAGACCCTCATGGCCCCGGTGACATCACCTACAGTAGGCAGAGCATTGAAGCAACCACTTAACACCTAACCAATTATTGATGTATTATTCCATGTTATCTCTGACAATGCATATGATGTAATTTTGCTTTAAAAGGGACTTGCCGTCCCCTCTGAATAAACTTTCCTCAAGTTATTCAACAACCTAGAACCTGTGTCTGGTGTGAATCACTTCAGGGAGCGTGCACGCATGGTTTCATTGATTTGGCCAGGGGCAGATACACAAAGAAATAATCAATACTTTAATTGATTTTTCCACTTCAGTAAGTACCCAGGCCGGAGAGGAGGGCACGATCGTTAGGGAGTGCTATGCTGTCTGAATGGACTTGAACCTTCCCTTCTGGAGGATGGCATAGCACACCCTATCGACACAAAGAGGTTGTAACGGATCACCTGGCACCCCGACTGGGTACCTCCGTTGAAAGATGCTCCTAGCGCTTCCTAAGGACTCTAAGCACTGCAGCAGACACCACAACCACCACAGACTGCACAACCGCTGTAGCTTGACTGGAGTCCCGCTGTCTTCCTTCCACCCTGGATCAGCTTCTGTCCTCCAGGACCGTGTGGGAAAGACCTCTTCCTTCCTCCCTGTATGAACCTCCAGCATCCAGTACTGTGTGGTGAAGACCTCTCCTCCAAGGAG